CAGTCAAACTCAGAAAGCTACAGTCTTTTCATGCTAATGTCATTTGTGGGACAAAGTTCAATTGGTATTGTTTCATACTCATTTATTCATTGCATTAAACCTGAGTCAAAGAACACATTCAAAGTCATCCCTAGAAGGCTATTTAAGACCATGGAAATTAAACTTTTTCGTTCCCCAAATGCACTATGATGTGCATAATCTAAAGAGAATTTTTAACGATCTTGTTTTTGTTCTTCAAGTTCTTATGTGAAACAAACTCTACAAAATCTACAAGAACCAAAACTTGAGTTATTTTGTGATGAATGTAATTCATCTTACATTCCTTGAGATCAATGGAACAATGCATTAAATTCCTTAAACGTTAAGTTTTTATAGAACCTATTTTATATGAGTTTGACTGTCACTATTTTAGAAGCGTGATCTTGAAATTAGAGTGAAATTTGTTGAGTGGTTCTAATGAGCATGAAGGATAGCATATAAGTCCATCATAATTCTACAAGGCTCTATTCAGTGTTTTGTTTATGCCATACACTAGTAATTGCTTCGATCTCTCTTTATAAACAACCATTGAGACTTTAAAGAAATGATAACCAAAAATTTAAATCGTGCACTTCGAGTTGCCTATGAATTTAGCCTACCACCAATTGAGAGTCATGTAAACTATGAGCCTTTTCATGCCAAATAGCATTACTTCATACTCTGCTTGGTTATTAGTTGCATTAAACTTAAGCAAAAGGACACAAGTCAAGTCATCCCTTGAATACACTTCAAACCCATGCTGACTCTTTTATTTTCTCCAAATCAATGTAAAGAACCAAGTACATTAAAAAGCATAAAGTTTTTCTTGTTTCAATGCTCAAAGCATGAAACATAGTGAGACTTTTACCAACTAGAGCACTCATGACTTATACATCACATATATACATATATTATTTGCTAAAATTAAGCATTTATTTAAAAATGTAAGTGAAGCTGTGAACAAGAAAAGGACATTTGCTTTTCATTGGTTCTTGTTTTCACGAATGGTAAAAGGATAATAACATATTCATGAGTCATGATAGCATTCAAAAATCATGAGCCATCCAATTGTAATTTTCAAGAATCAAACACAATGTCGACCCTTGTTGGTTATAAATGATAGCATATCAAGCACACATTGAACAACAATATCATCAAATAATAATTTTCAACAATATAATGATACATTCAACAAAATTAATTTTCATCTATCCAAAAGAAAAAAGTATCAAAAAAATAAATAATGAAGTTATGAAAAAGTGCTAAAAAATCAAGGATATTCATCGACAGACCGACTAGAAACCAAGAGGCACAGGCGGTGTGAAGTGAAAAAGTGAAAAAATGAGGCATGAAGAAGCAATCTCAAAACAAAGCTTGTAAACAAAAGCTAAAAATAGCAGCCACAAGAACCAATGAGAAGCATATAAAAAGCACCAAATGAGAAATTATGAAAAGAACTAATCAGCAATAAATCAATGATTATGCAAGAAAATGAAGAGAAGCAAATACTCATATCAAGTTATTATGGTAGATGCTGAACAAAGCCATAAAAATCTAAACTAGGTCTTCATTTTGAGCTAGATCCAAGGGAATAGTGCCACAATGCAATACAATGGTGTGGCACGAGACTATACGAGACACATTTGATCAAGATCTTTTACTTCAAATACAAGCAATGCAAAGGGCCAACAAATTGTTTAAGTACGCCCAAAGTGTTTTTTTAGAAAACACATTAAAAGCAGTTTTAGTGTGCAAAATCAAAAAAAAAATTTGACAATCTTGTTTCGGTAATTTAATTTCTTCAATTGATAATATCTCTATAAAAAAATAAACAATAGCCATAGCATTAATAGCTTCTAAGTGTGCCTACTCTAGCCCACTTCATTAACCTCCCTAAAAGTTCAAATTTTTTAAAAACTCACTCAGTGGTTTCACGGTCATCACTTTGATAATGTGCAGTTTTACGTAGGGTAGAAGCCATCAAGCAACAACATGGCTAATTTGACAAGTTCAGCAAAGTTCTGCTTACCACTCATTGTTTTGCTTACATGGCACTCTAGAACTTGCTTCTTGCTCCATTCATAAACAAAACTAAGCTTGCTATTGTGTCATGGATTCCCAGATCAACTAGTAATTATTTTCCTAAATTTAAATTGTTGAGAAGTTCAAATATTATTTAAAATCTGGGAAATCATTTTCAAAATTGCATGAAAACTTGAATTTTTTGCTTTTACGTAGCACCTTAAAGAGTGGTTAACTTTAAATAGTAGTTAACTTCTCTTGATCAGAAGATAAATCAATTAAGCCCCGCAATTTTTAAAATGATTTGCATATTTTTTCACCAAACAATCATAGTTCATCCATAGAACCGCTTAGCACCGCTCTGAATTATTCAAAATTGGTCATAATAACCAAAGTTAATCATTTAGCCAAGGATTTTCTATCTTGATGCTCAGCATGCACTTAAGATTCAGCTTCATGGTGAACATCAACATTGTAAACATCTTAAAAAGATCATCAAAATGATTAAGGAATTCTTTATTTTTTGTGAGGATAACATCAACATAGATTTGTACATTTTGTTCTTTATGTGTTATTTAAGAACACTGTGCTCATTAATCCAAATAAGATAATACTACAATAGAAAATCCCTCCTAGTGGTGGAACTTGGGAGAGGATGGGGTTGGCTCTTACCCACCCCCATGCTAAACTATTTTTACCTTTCTCACTTAAATCCTAATTCCATCACTAGCCTCTTCATTGGTGATAAAGTTTGTCAAATCTTTGTCAAATGGACTCATCATAATTTGATGACGGCTAGAGATGTCAAGAAACTCGGCATGGAATAGCTTACCAGTGAATCAACCAAAGCATTAATGTTGAGTAATGGGTAAGATTCTTATGGACAAGCATCAATGTTTTGCTTGAAATCAATGCATATCCTCCATTCATCAATTGACATACGTAGAAGATTTACTAAATCGATCATCAGTATGTTGGAAATCTACTCAACATATTGAATCTCTTGGATGAATTCAACATCCAAGAGTATATGCACTTCCTCTTTAATTGCCTGGTTGATTTCAAGCATAAAATTCCTTCTCTTTTCTTGATATCCTTGCTTTCTAATTAGATGTGCAAATGATAACAATAGGAATTCAAGTCAACCCTCGAAATCCCAGATGGTTTCTATGAATAAATATCTAAGTTATTTATAAAAAGGTTTTCGCAACTAGAAAATTACATTAACACAAAGAACTAATGCTCTTTTTTTTCTTTTTTTTTTTGCAAGGCACCTCTTCTTCTAAAAAAGAAATTCAAAACCTCCTCATTTAACCAAAGTCTTGATCGGATGGCCTTTTTAGTATTCAAAATAGAACATTCTCCTTCTTAATTGATATTGAGGTAGAATTTTTTATATCGAATAAAATCTCCTTGAATAGGAGCAATTCCATTTAGCATAAAAGATTTTATTATTAGATGACCACTTCAGACAACTGCTTGGAACCAATATAACAAGGGTTGCACAAAGATGATAGTGGAGGTTGAGGGAGTACAATGAAATCATGAAATCAATGAATTATGCTTCATAAGATTTGTAATCTCTTCCAAGTTAACTTCAAGGATGACCATCCCTTGAAAGACACATCCCTCACTTGAGAAATTGATCAAGATCCCTTGGAAACTCTAAGATGCATGGTGTTCAGTCAAAAATTATTTCAAATGAATAAACAATGCATTCAAAGTATCGATGGTGTCAACCAAAATTCAAAGACCCTCGCCTAACTGACTACCAATTTCACTGCAATCACATCATTATAAATATTCCAAAATAATTTATGTTTTCATTTAAAAGGATATGACTAGTAAATAGGTGCAAGGTTTACTTTATTTTAATTAACTGCACATCAAATCCATTCACCAACTGCTTTAGAAATAGCTCCCTCATTGATAGATTCAATCTGCCTAATCATTGTTAGTTTGCTTTGGTTTGCATTCTTGATGTTTGGTTAATTACAAAATAATATATTTTAATTAATATCATAAAACCTCCACACAAAGTATACTTCTCATATCTCTTACTTCATGCATGCCTCATCCCCCTGAATCATGACCTAATAAGATTATCCCCTTCCCAAGTGCATTTAGTTCATCAATCTACTATCTCATGACTCAGTCGCCCTCCTTTATATGCAATTATGATTATGTGTTTCACTTGACTATTATAGTCATTCTTCTTAAGTTTCACACTAAAGAATTAAACCAACAGATCAAATTCATGGGATTTAAAAATTATATTTATTTTTAGACAAAATAATTTTTAAACAAATTGCACAGCTTTCTAGATCATTTATAGAATATTTTAAAGAATATATAAATTAATTTGTATGCCGCTAGTAAAATTATGTTTTGGGCCCAACCATTGGTCAATCCATTTATTGTCAGTTCATGAATTCCAGACTCCTTCACTTCTTCAATTCTTAATGTAATTTGGCTACCTATTAGCTAAATGTCCTGATGTTAGAGAATAAAGAACAAAACAATTATTTTAACAGAATAAACGATGAAAATAATAAATACTGGCAATGCCAATGCTGCGTCATGCATCATGCACCAAATAGCAAAAAGTGTTTCTGGACAGTCAAATTATGTGAATCTAAACAATCGACTCAGTCTGATGAAAAGAGTACGCAGCTGCATAATATTAAGCTTACGTCCTTGCAATACAACCAGGCATTTGAAACTCCGAAATCTAACAGTTCGTTATACTCCAAAAGCAAAGCCTTCAATAGTTATACAACAATTTCAACCACGCAACTCAATTCGCCTCCAATTTTCTTGAGAAAAGGAGAATGAAATGAAAAAATAAGAATAAATAAAAGTAAAAACATATCACCCATTAGTTGTTTAGCTAGAGAGAATAAGAGAGAGAGAGAGAAACCAAAGAGGAAGTTCAAGAATATGGAAAGTTAAGGGCCGACCAAAATATAGAGCAGAGAAGAAAACAGAATTGTCCTGTAACGCCCCAGATACGAATCAGCGACGAACGCGCCTGCAAGCGGCAGCAACATCGCTACCCCCGCCAATGTATTCACACCAGCTGCTGCCGCCGCCGTGGACTCCTGGAGCGACCCAGTGAGATAGGTAATAAGGTTGGAAAAAATCCCATAATATGCAAACCTCTCCGCAATCTCCACCCCTGCGACGAGGTCTCAAGAATAAGAGATCAGAAACCGAATGGACGAGCGGCATTGGGGAGAGGAGAGGAGTTAAGGAAATGGATTGAACTTCACATACAGATGATGAAGAGAGCGGCGGTCCACCTGCCGGAGGAGGATCGGAAAGCAGGGTAGCCGCGGTAGTCGACGACGCCTGCCAGGGCGACTGCGGGGGAAGATGAGGGGTTAGCGATGAAGGGAAGAAGAGCGCTTGCCTCCATCTCGGGTGAAAAGCCTGGTCGATTGTTTTGCGGAGGTAAGCTGAGCGGAGCTCGCTGGTACTGGCGGGGGACCTTAACAAATTATTGCTTTTCAGCATTTATTGGCATCCTGCATGCGGAATCAGGTGTCTTAAAAAATTAATAAATATATTAATAATATATTTTTAGTTTTGGGATTTAACTAGATAACACTCCAAAAATTATTATTTATGTATTTAATATTCTCTAAGTTTTACTTATTCGCAAAACACTTTAAACCTTTATGCTACAAAAAATGTCACTCCATCTACACCCTCATCCTGCATCGAACTTCTGTTTCAATGGTTAAATCAATTGAATAATTGATCTCTATATGTGCTTCACAAGTTTAATCAAGAGCATCGAAATGCAATGGCATGCAAATTGAAATCAAAATATCTCAATCTTGTCTGAAGTCACTTGAAACAATGTCCATTTATAAAACAGACTTTACGTTAAGTGCATCGAAATTTTCTATGGAGGGACCTTATATGACCAAAAAAAATCAGTATTCTGAAATGGGAAGTATAACTCTACACCGTGCAAATCGAACTCAAATCACCTCAACAAATAGTAAAATTTGCTCAGACATCATTTGATCGTAAAAGAGTCCATGTGAGAGCGTTCAAAACTTCGACTTTGCTTAAGGAAGACACTAGTATTGTCATATTTCCGTACATTTGATGATGATGACTATATCGAGACACAAATTAAAAATTAAAAAATAACACTAAACATTAACTTAGCTCTCAAACACTTTACTACCAATTCATGTGCACAATGCCTTTTTTATTTCCTCGTGATACTTAGCTACCCCTCTCCATCCAATCTTATTTCTCCATCTAACTCAAAATAATAATCTAAACTACAACTCTCTCCACTGCCTTTGGAGCCCTCTAGCTTTTTTCATTCAATCTCTCCCACTTGCACAGACAAAAACCTCAACTCTTCTCATTCGTTATGTAGTTAACAAATTAACAAATTCATTGTTCCTTCCTGTCACTCTTGATCATACATGAAAGCTCACTCCCATCTTTTGCTCTCCATCGCTTTTCCTCCAACCCAAACCCTCATTTCTTAGAAATCTAGCTCGCTAGTTGTGCCACTCACCTGACACAATAGTGTCAAACTCCATACCTCTCCTGAGGTTGGTCCTATAAAATTGCAACTAACTGAACTCCCATTCCCAAACAACTCAATGTATTCTAGGCCACTCCCCTTTGGTCCTATAAAATTGCAACTAACTGAACTCCCATTCCCAAACAACTCAATGTATTCTAGGCCACTCCCCTTAAGCCACTTCCTCACCACTCTTCCCACCAAAGCATCATGCTCTAGCCCACATGTCACTCTACCATGCATCTCACCCCCCAATTTGATCTCTCTCTAGTTTTTAAACATCTCACATTGCTCACCTCCCAGCCCTCTATTCACACTTGATAGCTACTCCCTTACTACAATCCTCATGTTTTCCCAAATTAATGATGTTTAGTCCTTCCATCTCCTTGTTCAAACTGAAAACATTCCACAATCTCACCCCATGTGCATCAACAGCCAAACTCCACTGCCTAAGCCTCTACTATGCTGCCCTCCTGACTTGATGTCACTAACCCTTTTGCACCTCTCATAGAGAAATACAATTTTTTTTGTCTCTCACTTACTCTTTTTTGATTGAATATTTCAAACCCCACGAACTCTTGTAGTGTTCATCCGCTTAATTGTATTTCACATGCTTGATACACCAAAAATATATGCATTTTTAGACTCATATTTTATACTTATTTTTGGTGATATTGCACTTTAAAGAAAAGTATTTTTCATGTTTTGTTACAGGTTGTTGATTTTTAGGACTTGGAGCAAAAAGGAAGCAAAAAGGATGAAATTTGGAGTCAAAATGGAGTTTTTGAAAAATTGTTCAGCCCCAACGGCGCCAGTGTTGGTGCAGACCCTGTTTTTAGATGATTCGACGAATTTAGACACTTTTTGAAGAGTTTTTGGATGCACCTATTGAAAAACCAACCTTATGCTCTATTTAGAGCCAAAATTGATCAGAAAAGACTCTCTTTGCACTCCTCCGCTCGCTCTTGGTCTTTCTTCGCATCTCTTCGCCCCCCTTCGGGCCACTTTGCCTCCTTCCACGCCATTCTACACCCTTAGTCATTTAATTTCTTTATAGTTTTGAGTTTTTGTGGTGAGTTTAAGTGTGAATTATTCTCTAAGAGTGTTGGAGAAGGAGAGAAGTGAGAGATTTCATCTTCCTACATTTCCTAAGAGAAGCTACAAGGGATTTGCTTTGAGAAATAATTTCAGATAAGTGTTGTTTGTTTATTATTGATGTATGAACTTTCTCTTATGTATGAAATTTATGTTTTGTTGTATCTTTCTCATGAAGTCTGAGTAGTTTCTTTTATATTTCTCATACTCTGAGATATGGTGAAACAAAAAGATAATTTGGATGTGTCAATGTTAAAATATAAAATAAATTGTGATGAATTTTCAACTCTGCTATTAATTTACTTTTCTTTCTAGTCAATTAAATTGTTAAAAATATGTTGTGAAACATATGATCCGGGAAATGAAGTATGAGTTCTACAACAGAGTGATAATCACATTTAAGAATCACATTTATAATCACATTTAAGTTCATGAAGAAGTATATCGTTCAAGGAATTAAGTGCAAATAAATAGACTAAACCTAAAAATCTCCAATTCGGTGTAGCATTGTTGGGTGTAGAATTGGAGATTTTTAGAGTGGCAGACTAAAATCCCTAATTCGGTCAACCTAAAAATCTCCAATTCGATCTTTGAGTTTAAGAACTAAAGCGACTAAAGCGAGAGTTAGCCTTCAGGTTAGCCTTCAGGGGAAGGGAAGTGGGAGCTCTAGAGTGGGAGCCAATATCCTCCTAGCTTAGCCACAGATTTAGGGACTAAACCTAAGATTAACCAATAATTTTCTATAACACTTAATCAGGATAGAGAATTAAAATTGCTCATATTTGACAAAATACAAATTTAAACTATTTATCTCATCTAATTTCACCAAAAACTTATTGTAGTGGGAATTATGATCTTTCATATTAGAAAATTTCATCACATAAACATAGTTTAGTATTTACTTTTTGTAAACTTTGCATTTAAATCTTGCTAGCAGTTAATAATTTAGTTTTGATAGTATTTTAAATATTTGAAATTAGGGACAGTAATTTCATTATATTTCTGTGAATTTCCTAGTTAATTTATCAATTCAAATTTAAACCTTCCTCGTGGGATTGATATTTAGGACTTAAATAGAAAGTCTTATATTACTTGATAACAATACATATACTTTTGTAGAATCCCATAAGTGTTTAACGTTATTATTCATAAAATACCGCATCAAGTTTTTGGCACCGTTGTAAAGCGAATTCAACTTTATACATTTTACACAACTATGCTTCACCGGGATCAATGCTCAAGACCAAAACGTTGTTCACATGACTATTTAGCTTGAACTAGCCTCTAAAGAAACTAAAGAAAAGAAAATTATAGAAGATATATAGCAGCAAACTGTAACAAAATTTATTTAATTGTAGTAGATCAGCTACATAAGTACATGTTGCTAATGTATATATAGGTGAAGTAATTATAACAGAGAATCTTTGTACAACTGTCACAATCTTTGATTTGTCATATAATGAACTTCCTTGTCTTTTTGTAACAGTATTTGGTTGTCATTAGGGTCCCTCAAGCTTAGCATTCAGAGGTTGGATGGTAAGTTTGTTCCTAATATTTAGAAAAGCCGTGGAAGGTATGTTGTTAGTGAATACATCTGCAATTTAGTCTTATCTGGCTATGTGTTGTATTGCTTTTATTTTGGCCGCAATTTGATCTCTGATGAAGTGATTATCTACTTTAATATGTTTGGTGCAAGTGTGGATGTTAGAATTGTTTGCTAGTGCAATTGCAGATGTATTATCACAAAAAAATAGTTGTTCATGTGTCCAAAGCTAGCTAAAATTATAATGTTAGACATTGAAGCCGCATTACTTTTGGTGTTGCTAATGATAGAGCTCTATATTCAGCTTATGTTGACAATCTTACTACAATTGATTATTGTCGTACCTTCCATGAAATAAGATTGTTTTCCTTGAAAAGCATAGTGATCATAGATATATCTTTTGATAATTAAATCCCTAGCTCAGTTTGATTATGAGTGGGATTGAACTGAGAAGAGCCTTCAACAAAGCGAAGTCCATAAGAAAATGTTCCTTTGAGGTACCTACGTACACATTTAATATGTTGTAAATTTACAACTGTAGGTGAGTGCATATGTTGAAATACTTGATCATTCGCATATGCAATTTCCGACCTTGTTATTGCAAGGTACTAAAACATTCCTAACAAATGTTAGGTTTATGCTTACTATTTTTAATCTTATTTTCATTGGATGTGTTAAATGTTACAATCATTATATGGCTCGCTTTATAATCTTTTATGGAGAGATTTGATTGTGTGAAGGATTTAATGTTGTGGGAATATGAATAGGAGTAGTAATTTGAGGTGAGGGTATTGAGCTATTGTGAGATTTTAATCATAGTTTATGCTGTGTAATTATATGTAGTAGCATAAGGGGGGTACATATGTATAAGTTGAAGAGATTGATCTGTAGGTGTCTGAGGAATGATATGGAAATTTAGTTTCAACAAATGTTGCATGTCATGCTATAATAACTTTGTGTAACAAAGTTGTAACATCTATATTCTATGATGTGAGTTGTAGCCAAGAAACAAACATGTGGATCTTTGAAATTTAGTTTGTCTATGATCGAACGATGATGCCATGGTTAACTTAAAGAACCAAATACTTTTATGAGTGATAATTTGGAGGTTTGCTGCGAAGAAGCTGAAATGGAAACTTTTTATTTATATTTCATGAGGGCTTTCTTTTTATCAAATAGATAGTAGTTTGGACAACATCGGTCAAAAATTTTTGTGGCGTGTTATTAAGAGAAGTGTTCTATATATTTAAAAAAACATGATGATGCTTGTGTTCAACTATCCCATTCTGTTCTAAAGTATAAAGACAACTG